ATTATTATTATTACCATTATTAATATTATGTTGAAAGAAAAAGAAAAACTTTGGAATCATGACAGGTCCATTTTAACTACTGCATACTGCCCACAGATGTCCTATTTGTAAAAAACCCACTGCAGTCGCATTGATATTTCTGTTTGGGGTATTTGGACAAAAACAGGATGGAATATGGATTGCAATTTTAGTTTTTGTCCAGGCCCCAATAAATGAAATGGTAGAAAGAAACACATATAGGCTTATTCAGTTTGTAGCGCGGATTATTTCTGAACCAACTATTAGACGGTTCGATCATTTCCTGCACAAAGAGCCATTTTCTGATTATTTGATTGTGATTGTGCGCTGCATGGAAAGCCAAATATACAGTCAATCTCTTCCTGTAAGCCTGATGCAACAAACTGTTGCACCGTGGAGGCTCTCACTTACCAGAAATGTAATTTGATGCTAGTTATAAAGAAAACCGACAGCATTTAGTTTGCACACTTTCAAATAGATAAAAAAAAACTTCTATTAGTTTTTAGTAAGAACATTTGAACCCACAGATAGGTTTCCATCAAATAAATGAATATTTCCATAGATTAAAACTATATAGATTTGTCAATGTTTTTAGTAATTAAATTGGAATGACACATCCCATCTTTAGAGCAGTTAAAGGAAATTCCTTGGGAAGTAAACAACGGCTTATAAACAAAAATATTTCCTGGTTCTGGATAACAATGCCATGAGTACTTTCTCAGAACGTAGTCTATATTTTCAGTGTGATTTACATCAAACTACATTGTCCTTTCCAGGAAACAGAATACTTAAAATCATGAACTTGTGTTGGTTTTCTGTTAGAAAATACTAATTGGACTCTACGTACAACATTCACTAAACATTGACATGCAGCTCCAAAGCAGGATGAATGATGGAAGAGGATCTCTGCTTTGCTACCACTGCAGATGTTGCAAACACACCTTGTCACCAAAAAAAAAAAGATTGATTATAAAGTATCTACAATCCGATCTAATATTGATTGTAGAGAATAAAAGACAATAAAGATTCAAAATGTGATGTTATACAACCAAACCTTTTCTGTCTCAGTCTCAAATTTAAGCACATTAAAAGTCTCAAACTATTACATCCTCACTGTTTGTTTTGACACATAGCAGTAATAGTTATGATACAAATCCCCCACAGGAAATACACCATAGTACTATTCACAAAGCACAAAACATTAAGAAGAAAAAAAAAGAATTGCAGGGGAAGATCTGGGCTGTGATGGAAGACGATGGCTGTAAGTCAGTACAGCGTTTGCACCTTGTGAAATCACAAGCTCAAAGGTTGGTTTGCTGTGTGACTGTTTTCTTGACCCATTGCAGGGGGGACTTTTTCTGTTTTTAGTAAAAAGCACTTTGGTAATGTTAGGTAAAGGAGTCACTACGTAAGCCAATGTGTGTCTACAGCACATGGATGTCTGAGAAATGCGGCTGCTGGCAAGATGCTCAAAATCGCTGGTGAACCGTGAGGATTCAGTACATTTCTTAAGAGTTAAGTGGAACAGTTTCAGAAAAGAATATTGCCGTAGACATCTGCAAACAGTTTGGAAGCTGTGAGTCAATTCAAATAATTCAAATTAATTTAATTTTGTAAATAAAAGTATATAAAAAAACTAATCGATGTGACCTAATAATAAGTAGTTTCACTGGCTGAACAAACAGAACGCAGAATAACGACTATACACCAAGCAGTATGGGTTAGATTATAATTATTTACTATAATTATTTACCTCTAGAAAGGCCAAGCTGCCATCAGCTGACTGCTGATCTCAACCCTCGGGGGCATTCACATTTCATTACTGATGATTTTCAATTCTTTTTCAGCTTTAAACACCCCAAATTACAGCATCAAGATGCCTCGTAATGTCTCAGTCCTCTTACATAATCGCTGCATTGCTGTTATGTAGTGTGGATGTGAGAAAAGACTGGCATGAACAGCAAAGAGGAAACGGCCCAAGACCATCAAGTAAAAATTGAGTAAATTTGAATGGGATTTGGTTTGATTCTGCACCTGCACTGACATCCATCTCTTAAAATCTCCAGTATGTGAATATGTCAGCTTTTAAATGTTCTTCTAGTCAACGTCCTACTGGCCTTTCTAGTGATAAAGTCCTGATAAGTGCGAGGAAAGCGGGTTGCACTAGGTGTTAAACTTCACAAACAGGGAGAAGGAAAGCGAAGGAACAGGAAGCTGAGGCTCTAAAGAGGACGGAGACTCCATAACAGATTAACCAGTCAGGATTTTTTTTTTTTCGAACCTGACAACTGACAGGAAAAGGAAGCTTGTGGGGAGGCCTTTAGTCGGAGAAGAGGCTGGCAAAGGACTGTCGGAGGCTGCGGATGGTCTCAGCTTTGGCCTCGTCGTCGGTCACGGTTCCTCGCAACGTCTCCGTGAAGGTGTTGGTCAGCGACTGGGATTTGCTGCGCAGTAAAGAGAACAGTATTGAGAACAGTGACAATATGTTCTTTTTCAGGGGCTGAGTGAGGGGACATTTTACTAGTAAATAGTAAGTAAGTAAATTTAATTTATAAAGCACATTTAAACACAGTATAAACTGACCAAAGTGCTGTACAGTGGATGACTAAAAAAGGCAAATAATACAGAAAAACACATTGGTAAATAACTAAAA